CATAAATATTATGTTTGCCTAATGTATCTACTGTTCTATTTATTGTATCCTGCTCTTTTAATCAACATGGGTTTTTTAAAATGTTCTCTAGGACTATTTTTACAAAAATGTCTCAAGTGTTAAAATGGAACTTTAGTGCATCAAAGTTATTACTATATATTAAGCTTTATGTGTATCACCTAGAATGGTATTTTGGGGGAAGAAGATTAAAAATCAAGGCTTGTACAGTCCAAAACTGGCATGCAAATAGATGATGTGTCTTAAGCCTCTTTACTGGGAAACTTTGTAAGGCAATAAATCTGTTCTTATTTTGTCCATGAATGCATTTCATTGCCCAATAAAAGAATTGTTGCAACAAACAGGCTATAAAAGATGGAGGAATACAATATGTTTTCCACAAATCAAATATAAAAACAGGCTGTAAGTAGCGAGTTATATTGTTATTACAATATTGTAATTTGTAATAAAATATTGGAGTAAGAAACAAGAGAACATATCTGTCCAATTTAATTTGAGTTGTTTACCCAAGAAAAGATTCTACTGGTCTGGCAAAGAAGGTTCCAGTTTAGACTTTTTTGATGATTCATATGAAGTGTCTGTCTTAAATCCTCTCCTTGGACTGTCAACACAAATGTTGTCAAATAAACTGGTAACCCACATTCTTCCATGGCAACCAGGTTTACCATTGCTGTTTGTTTTATTAACAGGCTTGTAGTCTTGAGCTGTTCCTGAAGCCTTCTGTTTTCATAGCTCCAAGGGACCTTAGTTGAGGTTCTTCTCAAAGGGTAATCGGGGAGCAGGAGAAAGTAGTTGTTTTTCTCAAGGGTCAGGAGGGAGGGATGCTCAGAAAATAAGTTCAGTTGGAAGAAAGAATGGGGTTACCCTGAGGACAAGCGTTGACTTGACTACCAAGGCTTCCCAGCGTATTGAGACTGCGAATTCTGGCAGAGGAAACTGGTCACGTTGGCAGATCTAAGACAAAATAGGACAATAATTAAATTATTGCGGTAAAACAGGTAGTCTTTCCTTCAGGTAAATATTTATTTCATCCCAGTCATTATGTTTCTCATGTTACTATCAACGATTCTTTGCCACTGTAGAAGTGCATCAAAAGTTCAGGGGACATTTCTGCCAAGTGGACCTCATACTAACATAGCATTGAGAGCCATGGTGGTGCAGTGGTTAGAATCGAGTATTGCAGGCTAACTCTGCTCACTGTCCGGAGTTCAATCCTGATGGGACAGGATTGTCCAGTGGAACAGCTTGCCTTCAGAGGTTGTGGCTGTTCCATCACGGGAGGCTTTTAAGAGACTGGACAGCCACTTGCTTGGAATGGTATAGGGCCGTGATAGCGAAACTATGACATGCATGCCACAGGTGGCACGCAGAGCCCTCTCTGTGGGCATGCCAGCCGTCACCCCAGCTGTTGTGGTCCACCGGCGGCCTGCGGAGCTGGCAGCAGAGTCAGACAGTGAGGAGGCTGAGGAGGAACATGGGCCAGTCCTGGAGTCTGGGGAAGGCTCGGACGAGGGCTCTGCGTCAGAGGCAGAGATGGGGTCAGAGCCGTCTGGGAGTTATGCACGGACTCCGGAGCCTCCAGAGTGGGACATCAGGGAGGCAGAGGAAAAGGGGGAGCCTGTTCCCAGTGCACGCATGCGCAGAGCTGCCAGAAGGCAAGAACAGTTAAAACAAAAGGGACGAATTGGGAGTAGGGCTTGGAGATGATTGGCATAAGACATAAAGGAGGAGCAAAGGCACATGGGCCTTTGCAGGAAGCAACGTTGTTCGTGCTGGCTGGTTTCACTTCTGCAGCTCTGTTTCACTCTGTGCTCCGTGTGGCCTTGGAAAGTTAATTGCCAATTAGGTCTTGGCAGCGTGTCAAGGGAGATAAAGGTGGGTGCTTATCAGCCTTATCCTTAGCCTTATAGAAGGACTGTGGCAGACTTCTGTTGGATTCTTTACAACTATTTGGGACTCATTTGTGAATGAGCAGAATTCACAGCCCTTTTTTTTTTTTAATTTGATTTATATGCCGCCCTTCTCCGGAGACTCAGGGCGGCTTACAATGCGTTAAGCAATAGCCTTCATACTTTTGTATATTTTATACAAAGTCAGCTTATTGCCCCCACAAACTGGGTCCTCATTTCACCTACCTTAGAAAGGATGGAAGGCTGAGTCAACCTTGAGCCTTGGAGAGATTCGAACCAGCAGTAAATTGCAGGCAGCTGTTCTTAATAACAGGGTGCTTTAGACCACTGTACTACCAAGGCTCTGAAATAAAAATAAAAAGAAATAAAAAGAGGGTTTTGGGGACTCATCGTGTGCTTTTACTGTATCAGGAAGTCCTAGGTCAGAACACCAGCCCAGCTCCACCATGCATGTGCGCACGCCTCCTGCCGGCCAGATGGTCTTTGGGTCTCTGCTGCGCATGCGCGGGGGGCGGGGGGCATGTCTGGGGGTACTTGCATTGCATTATGGGGGTTTGCGTGTGCGCCCCTGTGCCCCATTTTGGGCCTGGAAGGCCTCCTGCACCAAAATGGGCCGTGGGAGGGGGGCGCATGCTCACATTGTATTTGGGGGGGTTCAGGCAAGTGTGCGCACACTTTGGATACTTGGCACAAAAAAGGTTAACCATCACTGGTGTAGGGTTTCCTGCTTGAGCAGGGGGTTGGAGTAGAAGACCTCCAAGGTCCCTTCCAGCTCTAGGGCCTTTGGCTGATCTCAAATGGCTGTTCAGTCCAGACCTTATGTAGTCCTGGCTGAGGGAAGTCATAAAATGAGTCAGGAAGACACAATGCCTGTAGTACAATGGACTAAAGCACTGTTATTAACAACTGCTGCTTGCATGTATCCTAATGTCCAACCAAAATGTTGGAGATGTGATTGTTTAGATGCTACATATTATCATATTTGGTGGACTTGCAAGAAAGCCAAGGCTTTTTGGATAAAAATTTGGTGGGTTATGCAAAATGTTTTGAAGAAAAAAATTCAATTTTCTCCTCAATTGTTTTTACTGGGTATAGTTAAGGGCTTTTCAGTGGGTGAAACAAAATTGATATTGTATATGGTGACAGCAGCTAGGTTACTGATTGGTCAATATTGGAAAAGGGATGTTTTGCCTACTATTGAAGAATGGACTTTGAAGGTGGCCAGTTTTGCAGAGATGGCGAAGATATCAGCATATCTAAAAGATCGGACTCAAGAGACTTATGCCCGGGAGTGGAAGAAGTGGATAGATTATGTACAGAATAAATATCAAACTAGGAAATATCAGATAGCTTTTAGCTGAATGTATTATATAGGGATAGAATAACTGAATGTTACTTACGAAGAAATGAATAGTACACGGGGTGGAATAGTTAGTATTATAAAATGTGATTTTGATTTGGATTTCATCTTGAGGAAGTCATGGGGGGAGGGGAGGGCTAGGGAGGGTTTGGGGGGGGGAAACCGGGGCAAAAATGTATTTGTAAAACTTTTTAAATAAAAAAATAAAAAAAACAACTGCTGCTTGCAATTACTGCAAGTTCAAATCTCACCAGGCTCAAGGTTGACTCGGCCTTCCATCCTTTCTAAGGTAGGTGAAATGAGGACCCAGATTGTGGGGGCAATAAGCTGACTTTGTATAAATATACAGAAGTATGAAGGCTATTGCTTAACGCCTTGTAAGCCGCCCTGAGTCTCTGGAGAAGGGCGGCATATAAATTAAAGCAAAAAAAAAAAAAAAAATGCCAGCGTCCCTTCCAACTCTGTTATTCTATTATTCAGGAGAAGATGTAGCTTTGTGCACTCGCCTGCCACTTGTGCAGCCCTGTTCCCAATGGGCCATGGCCTGGTGCCGGGCCAGGGGTGCCTGGACTGGAAGTCCTCTTTCCAGCCCTACGATTCTATGACTGACTGATTAACGGATTGACTTTTAAATGCTGACTTTAAATTTTGATCCTGAGCATTACAAAGGTGTGAAGCTTAGAGGATAACTGAGAATGCCAGGTAGAGTGGAGGGAGATTCATCCATTCCTTCCCCAAATGACCACATCTATAAGGTCTTTTAATTGTTGACCAAGTTGCGTGATGGAAAACATTTGCTGTGTTGATTTCACTTTTGCTGCTGCTGCTGCTGAATAGACCAGTATAGTTATTAAAATACAGATGCATCTGCTCTTTATAATAAATGTGGTCTAGGGAGTAGTGGGAGCGACTCAATGTTTTGATAAGTTGCAGACGGACCATTTACTAAATGGAAGATTGCTGTAAGAATGCTGTATAATAGCAGTTTATTAGAGTTCTGTCTAGTATCTTGTCTGCTGGTGGAATTCTCCCTTCCCAGGTTGTAGTCTTTTCTTTCTCCCAAATTTACATTTGGAGACCCACCAGTGCAAATTTGAGCAGTGCCCTGTGTTGGAGGTGGGGGGGGGGGGGAGGGATGGGGATGAAAGCTGTTTTTGTTTGCAGCAGAAGATCATTTCTGTAACATGAGGTTTACCTGTTGCAAAGGAGAATTCTTCTTGCTCAGAGATGCATCTGTGTACAGGTGGTCCTCAATTTATGACCACAATTGAGCCCAACATTTCTATTCTTAAATGAGACATTTGTTAACTGAGTTTTGCCCCATTTTACGACTTTTCTTTCCATGGTTGTTAAGTGAATCACTGCAGTTGTTAAGTTAGTAATATGGTTGTTAAGTGAAACTGGCTTCTCCGTTGATTTTGCTTATCAGAAGATCACAAAAGCTGATCCCATGACCCCAGGACACTGGAACCGTCATAAATATGAGCCAATTGCCAAGCATCTGAATTTTGATCATGTGACTGTGGGGATGCTGCAACAGTGTCGATCGTGTGACCATGGAGATGCTGCAACTGTCATAAGTGTGAAAAATGGTCATAAGTCACTTTTCAGTGCCGTTGTAACTTTGAACGATCACGAAATGAACTGTTGTAAGTCGAGGACTACCTGTACCTGTTTTACATGTCTTTTCTTCCTTCTGTTTTGTCGTCCAGGGCGCCAATGCCTCTGCTTTGGAGAAAGAGATTGGTCCGGATCAATTTCCTATGAATGAGCATTACTTCGGCTTGGTTAACGTGAGTGGCTCTTTTCTGCTTCTTGGGGAGTTGTCTGATAGTTGTGTCTTCTTTTGTCATCCCTGGATGTGGAACCAAACACCCCGAGAACCCCTTGTGTTCACTGCTCCTGGAGCCAATTTATATCCTGAGCCTCGGAAACTCTGCTTAAAAATCAGCCTTTACAAAGTAAAGCAAGAGTTAAAAACATTGGCCATTTGTTTGCTTGAGGAAGGTTTGCTTTGTTCAATTTGTTAGGAAACAGCAGCAGAAGTGTGTTTCCAGTCAGAATTTGTTTATTTTATTTATTTATTTATTTATTTTATTTCTATACCGCCCTTCTCCCGAAGGACTCAGGGCGGTGTACAGCCTAATTAAAAACACAAAGACAGACAATGTTTAAAAATAATTAAAATTATTAAATAATAGGCCCAATTTATAAAACCCCAAATTTAAAAAACCAATTTAAAACCAATTAAAATCTTTATATTGATAGCCCAGCCTGGCGGAACAACATGGTTTTGAGGACACAGCGAAATACACGGAGATCAGAGATTTTGCGAATTTCTGGGGGGAGTTCATTCCAGAGGGCAGGGGCTCCCACAGAGAAGGCCCTCCCCCTGGGTGTCGCCAGCCAACATAGTTTGGCCGCTGGCACCCTGAGGAGACCCTCTCTGTGGGAGCGGACTGGCCGGTGGGAGGCTACTGGTGGCAGAAGACGGTCTCGAAGGTACCCAGGTCCAATGCCATGGAGCGCTTTAAAGGTGGTAACCAACACCTTGAATCGCACCCGGAAGACCACTGGGAGCCAGTGCAGCTCGCGCAGGAGGGGTGTCACGTGGGCACAACGAGTTGCGCCCATAACCACCTGCGCGGCCACATTCTGGACCAGCTGGAGCCTCTGGGTGCTTTTCAAGGGGAGCCCCATGTAGAGAGCATTGCAGTAGTCCAGTCGGGAGGTGACAAGGGCATGAGTGACTGCGCAAGGTGTCGCGGTCCAGAAAGGGCCACAACTGGTGAATCAGGTGAACCTGATAAAAGGCCCCCCTGGCCACGGCCGTCATATGCTCTTCTAAAGACAGCCGTGCGTCCAGGAGGACGCCCAGATTGTGGGCCCTCTCTGTGGGGGGTAAAGACTCACCCCCAATAGTCAGCGATGGTACCAGCTGACTGTATCGCGGCGCCGGAAACCACAGCCACTCGGTCTTGGAGGGGTTAAGTTTGAGCCTATTTCTCCCCATCCAGACCCGCACGGCCTCCAGGCAGCGAGACATCACATTAAGGGCATCGTTGGGGTGATCTGGGGTGAAGATGTACAGCTGAGTATCATCAGCGTACAGATGACACTTCACCCCAAAACCATGGATGATCTCACCCAGCGGCTTCACATAAATGTTGAACAGAAGGGGCGAGAGGACCGACCCTTGCGGCACTCCCCATGCAAGGCGCCTTGAAGTCGACCTCTGTCCCCCTGCCAACACGAACTGCGAGCGGTCGGAGAGGAAGGAGGAGAACCACCGCAAAACGGTGCCCCCTATTCCTAACCCCCTCAACCGCTGCAGCATGATACCATGGTCGATGGTATCAAAAGCCGCTGAGAGATTTAATAGGACCAGGACAGAGGAGCAACCCCTGTCCCGAGCCCTCCAGAGATCATCCACCAACGCGACCAATGCCGTTTCTGTGGTGTACCCCTGCCTGAAGCCCGACTGGTACGGGTCCAGATAGATAGCTTCATCCAGGTGCCCGGGCAGTTGTCGTGCCACCACACTCTCAACAACCTTCGCCACAAAACGAAGGTTGGAGACCGGACGGTAGTTGGCTAATTCAGCTGGGTCCAGGGAAGGCTTCTTGAGGAGGGGCCTCACCACCGCCTCTTTCAAGACAGCGGGAAAGGCGCCCTCACTCAGAGAAGCACTTATAATCCCCTGGAGCCAGCCTCGTGTAACCTCCCAGGAGGCCAGTACCAACCAGGAGGGACACGGGTCCAATAAACATGTGGCGGCACTAATCCTACCCAGAACCCTGTCCACATCCTTGGGAGCCACAGGCTCAAACTCCTCCCAGATGAGATACAAAACTCCTGAGACAGGTGGACCACAGAGAAGGGGCCCAGAAAAAGTTACCTTCCTGCCCTGCAGTCCCCGTTTTAAAAAAACCACAAACTTTTGGGCCAGAGCTTGCAGGTATTTGCTCATTGAGAGAGCTTAAACCTGCCCTAATCCTGTGGAAGTAAACAAAGGCTTGACCCAGGAATGGTCAGCTTTGAGCTCCTATCTGAAAGCTGAATTGAACTTCCAGATGTGTTGATGGGAGCATCCCAGAAGAGTAGAATTCCATTGGACGGAGCCAAGAGGGATGCTAAGAAACAGCACGGAGGGAATTGTAATACGCTCAGAGGTCACGAGATGCTGGACCCCATTGGTCATGTCAAAGTCCATGGCACTTCTCCCTGCATGGAAGTGAAATTGCAGAAGGGTCGCCGATGCCCCCGGCAAAGCTACAGGTGAAACTCGAAAAATTAGAATATCATGCAAAAGTTCATTTATTTCAGTAATGCAACTTAAAAGGTGAAACTAATATATGAGATAGACTCATTACATGCAAAGTGAGATAGTTCAAGCCTTGATTTGTCATACTTTTGATGATTATGGCTTACAGCTCATGAAAACCCCAAATTCACAATCTCAGAAAATTAGAATATTGTGAAAAGGTTCAATATTCTAGGCTCAAAGTGTCCCACTCTAATTAGCTAATTAAACCATAACACCTGCAAAGGGTTCCTGAGCCTTTAAATGGTCTCTCAGTCTGGTTCAGTAGGAATCACAATCATGGGAAAGACTGCTGACCTGACAGTTGTGCAGAAAACCATCATTGACACCCTCCATAAGGAGGGAAAGCCTCAAAAGGTAATTGCAAAAGAAGCTGGATGTTCCCAAAGTGCTATATCAAAGCACATTAATAGAAAGTTATGTGGAAGGGAAAAGTGTGGAAGAAAAAGGTGCACAAGCAGCAGGGATGACTGCATCCTGGAGAGGATTGTCAGGAAAAGGCCATTCAAAAGTGTTGGGGACTGTCACAAGGAGAGGACTGAGGCTGGAGTCAGTACATCAGGAGCCACCACACACAGATAGATCCTGGACATGGGCTTCAAATGTCGTATTCCTCTTGTCAAGCCGCTCCTGAACAACAAACAACGTCAGACCTGGGCTAAAGAAAAAAAGAACTGGTCTGTTGCTCAGTGGTCTAAAGTCCTCTTTTCTGATGAGAGCAACTTTTACATCTCATTTGGAAACCAAGGACCCAGAATCTGGAAGAAGAATGGAGAGGCATACACTGCAAGATGCTTGAAGTCCAGTGTGAAGTTTCCACAGTCTGTGTTGATTTGGGGAGCCATGTCATCTGCTGGTGTTGTCCACTGTGCTTCATTAAGTCCAGGGTCAATGCAGTTGTCTACCAGGAGATTTTGGAGCACTTCATGCTTCCTTCCGCAGATAAGCTTTATGGGGATGCTGACTTCATTTTCCAGCAGGACTTTGCACCTGCCCACACTGCCAAAGGTACCAAAACCTGGTTCAATGACCATGGGATTACTGTGCTTGATTGGCCAGCAAACTCGCCTGACCTGAACCCCATAGAGAATCTATGGGGCATTGCCAAGAGAAAGATGAGAGACATGAGACCGAACAATGCAGAAGAGCTGAAGGCCGCTATTGAAGCATCCTGATCTTCCATAACACCTCAGCAGTGCCACAGGCTGATAGCATCCATGCCATGCTGCATTGAGGTAGTAATTGATGCAAAAGGGGCCCAAACCAAGTACTGAGTACATATGCATGCTTATACTTTTCAGAGGTCCGATATTATTCTATGTACAATCCTTGTTTTATTGATTTCATGTAATATTCTAATTTTCTGAGATTGTGAATTTGGGGTTTTCATGAGCTGTAAGTCATAATCATCAAAATTATGACAAATCAAGGCTTGAACTATCTCGCTTTGCATGTAATGAGTCTATCTCATATATTAGTTTCACCTTTTAAGTTGCATTACTGAAATAAATGAACTTTTGCACGATATTCTAATTTTTCGAGTTTCACCTGTATAATAAAAGGCATTTCATCTTGATTCAGTTTGCTGCTTTGAGGCAAGAGATTCACAAATCTGCTTCAGGAGTGACTTGATTGAAGATTAATTGAACCAAAGCACCCTATCAAAGCTTTCCACAGCCTCGGGTTGAATAGCACACAGCTCCCAATACATTGTTTTCAATGGGCAAATATTAGTTTTGTTTATACCAGGGGTCTCCAATCTTGGCAACTTTAAGACTTGTGGACTTCAACTCCCAGAAAGCTGGCTGAGGAACTCTGGGAGTTGAAGTCCACAAGTCTTAAAGTTGCCAAGGTTGGAGACCCCTAGTTTATACTGAGAGTCTTGATGTGGATGGAGGGAGCTGTTGCAGAGATGATGATGATGATGATGTATTCTGAATGTCAAATGATTTCTCCCAGACGTGATCATCCCCTCAGATTCTCTTTTCTTTCTCTGAAATGAAGCAACCTTCAAATGTGACAGATGCAAACATCTGCTTTTAGCTTTGTAAACAGGAAGCATGTAGACACTGTCTAACTCGTCCCCAGGGCGAATTTCTCCTAAGAGTGCCGGTCCCTTCTCTAAATATTCTTGATCTGAGCTGACTCTGGAAAGAACCTCCTCTAACTCTCCTTGGCACCCCATCAGAGTTCTGGCTGCTGCCAGGCTCCACACATAAATCACGGTCTGGTCACAAGCAGCAGCCTTGCCCTGAGCACCACCCATTGCTGACAGTCGTAACAGCATAGCAACAGATTCCTCTGGAGTGACAAGCAACAGGACATGGTTCCCTTCCCTAATTAATTAGCATTGCTGGTTTGTGAAACGAGTGGGAGGGTGGGCCAAATGGCATTGCAAAGCTTTTAAAAAGTCGGGGTCAGCACCCTTCACTGAGGGTCAACAAAGGAAATACTTCAGGCATGTTGTGGTGACAGGCAGCTGTGGGACAGTTCATGGTTGAGGAAGTACTGACAAAGCCCCCAAACTAGCCTACAAGGCTTGCAACCCCAAGGCAGATTCAGAGTGGAGATTGCAGAGGGAATGCATTTGGAGCAAGTGTGGCAGTTTCAGCTTAAGCATAGCATTCAGGGACAAAAACTTCTCAGGCTCCCTGAGCCCTCAAAAAGATTGTCCTCTCCTCAGATGCCTTTTTTGTGAGAATATTGTATGCAACACCTTCACCTTTTATGCTACTTTGCCAGCCTCCCCCATCCTCTTCCTTACCAGCTTACTTAGAAGACAGAATAACAAAGTTGGAAGGGATCTTGAAGGTCTTCTGGTCCAATTCCCTGCTTGAGCAGGAGATCCTCTACCAGGCGTGTCCAACCTTGAAAATTTTAAGACTTCTGGACTTCAAAGTCCACAAGTCTTAAATTGTTTACAAGTTGTCCGTCCATAAGTCTTAAAGTTGCCAAGATTGGACACTCCTGCCCTGTACTCTTGGTTTCCTTAGTTCTCTTTTACCTGCAGTTGAATAACCATTTTGCAGACAGACAGACAGGCAGACAGACAGGCAGACAGACAGACAGACACACCCTTAGTTACTTTTCTTTTTCTGTTCTCTCAGTTTGGAAACACCTGCTACTGTAACTCAGTCCTCCAGGCCCTTTACTTCTGTCGTCCATTTCGGGAAAAGGTTTTGGCCTACAAAGTCCAGGCCCGCAAAAAGGAGACCCTTCTGACGTGCTTGTCGGACCTCTTCAACAGTATTGCCACCCAGAAGAAGAAAGTGGGGGTCATCCCCCCCAAGAAGTTCATTTCCCGGCTAAGGAAAGAAAACGGTAAGGAAGCCTCTTGCTTCTTGGATGCCTTGGGACAGAGGATGCTTAAGATTTTATTAGATGTCGGTTTGTGTGGTTGGAGGCCCTTGGAAGCATCTCACTCAGAATTAGATTTGTGGGAACAGAGGAAGCTCCCTCATACCGGTAGATCTCGACTTACAACCACTGATTTAGTGACAGTTCGAAGTTACAACAGCACTGAAAAAGTGTCTTATGACTGTTTTTCATACTTATGACCATGGCAGCATCCCCAAAGTCACATGATCAAACTTAAGACACTTCAGGCAACTGATATTTATGACAGTTGCAGTGTCCCTTGACTTGACAACTGGCAAGAAAGGTCATAAAATGGGGCAAAACTCACTTAACAACTGTCTTGCTTAGCAAGAGAAATTTTTGGCTCAGTTGTGGTCATAAGTGGAGGAGTACCTGTACTAGGGTAATCAACACGATGTATGGACACACATCTCCATTAAGTTCCCTGTCCAGCTTAACCTTTTAAAAATTCTGTTAATTTAAGAAACAAGCTACTTGCTAAGAGCAAATCACCATATTGATCCATAGCAAAATCCCCCTCCCCCCCTCCCCCGGACACAGATGGTAGAGAGCATCTGGGTTCAGCATCTGATTAAAGAATATCTTTTAACTGACTAGGCCAACCTTGAGAACTAGTTAGTAAGTAAATCAGACTCATATGGTAATCATTTTGTAACTCTGCCCATCATTTATTGTCCTTTGCCCTTAACTACAGGTAGTTCTCAACTGAACAACCATTCACTGAAAAAAATTGACTTATGATCCTTACGACCGTTGGAGCGTCCCCATGGTCATGTGATCAGAAATAGTGTGCTTGGCAACTGGCATGTACTTATAACAGCTGCACTGTCCCAGAATGATGTGATCATTTGACTCATAGTGGTATATTCATGCTGCGAATATGTTCACATCTCCTATTTTTGCTAAGCACTTTTGCTCATTTTTGATAAATGCATATTCCGTTGCTTTCTACCCTGTCCTGGTATCTGAAATTCTGTAATGACTTTAACCGTACTAGGCTGGCAGTCTAATATCTTAATTCCTCTGCTCTTTTTGTGGTTGTTGTTGTGTGCCTTCTTGTTACCAGAGCTGTTTGACAACTATATGCAGCAGGACGCGCACGAATTCCTGAACTATCTATTGAACACAATTGCGGACTTGCTGCAAGAAGAAAAGAAGCAGGAAAAACAGAATGGCAAACTCCAGAATGGAAGCATTGAGAGTGATGAAGGGGAGAAGACAGAGCTTACGTGGGTCCATGAAATCTTCCAGGGAACACTAACAAACGAAACTCGCTGTTTAAACTGTGAAGCTGTAGGTGGCTCTTTACTTTCTCTGAAATTCCTACTTAGAGGCGCTGTTCTTTCCCAAGGGTTTTGCCTGTATTCCCCCCCCCCCCCTTTTTTTTTTTTTTGCTTTAATTTATATGCCGCCCTTCTCCGGAGACTCAGGGCGGCTTACAATGCATTAAGCAATAGCCTTCTTACTTTTGTATATTTATACAAAGTCAGCTTATTGCCCCCACAATCTGGGTCCTCATTTCACCTACCTTTGAAAGGATGGAAGGCTGAGTCAACCTTGAGCCTGGCGAGATCTTCCTACTCTCCGTATATAAACAGAAGAACAGTCGTTCTTTCTAGATGCTAAACCTACATTTAGCTAGAACAGGGGTCTCCAAAGTTGCAACTTTAAGACTTGTGGATTGCTACTCCCAGAATTTGGGGAGTTGAAAGTCCACAAGTCTTATTAAAGATGCCAAGTTTGGAGACGCCTGAACTAGAAAAATGTTTCTCAGTTTTGGCAACAAAGATGTGTGGACTTCAACACCCACAGTGTTTCCTGCCATAACTGGCTTGGTCTGTTTTCAAGAAGCTTGTATGAGGGCATGAAGTTCATAACTCTGCCCCACTCTTACCTCAGTTCTTGTTCTGGTATCTTGGATGCTCCCTGAGCTTGGTTGTTCGCTTACTGATGTTTCATTGCCCAAGTAGGTAACGTCATCAGTGCGAGAGTGTTGGGGTTTGTGTCCTCTTTATATGCAGTAGCTTGCCCTGCCAGTGATGGGAGGTGTGCGATCAAAATTCAAATGCTTAGCAACTGACTCATATTTATGACGGTCGCAATGTCCTGGGGTCACGTGATCCCCTTTTGCGACTTTCTGACAGCAAAGTCAATTGGGGAAGCCAAATTCACTTAACAACCGTGTTACTAACTTAACAACTAACTGCAGTGTTTCACTTAACAACTGTGGCAAGAAAGGCTGTAAAATGGGACAAAATTCACTTAATAACTATCTCGCTTAGCAACAGAAATTGTTATAAGTCGAGGACTACCTGTAATGAAGGCAAGCCTAAACCCCCCATTCCTAGGAGTAAATGTAGGGAATGTGACTGGCTCGGGATCCTTCACTGAGATGAAAGATTTAGCCGAGAACAATTGCTAGGAATTAGATGCTGTACAGTTGTACATTCTTCATTCTCTTTCTTAAAGATTGTAAAATCTGCATTTTTACCTCTTCAAGGTGAGCAGCAAAGATGAAGATTTTCTGGACCTGTCGGTTGACGTGGAACAAAATACATCAATCACACACTGCCTGAGGTACACGTTTCAACTAAAACAGAAAATGCAGCCAGATAAAACAAGGATGCTTTATTTAATCCCAGGACACCGAAGCCTGGAGCCAACACTAATACATTAAATAGCTTCCTAGAGTGTTATTTATTTTTATTTAACTATGCGTATTCTGCCTTTTATAAGACTTCTAATAGAGTTTCAGGGAGAGTTATTTGCTTGCTTTGGCCATCATACAACTGCAAATCCCTGAATCACTATGCCAATGTGGTAATGATGCTATCAAGGGATTTCGCAGGCACAAACCCACACACAATAAATTAGCAGCAGCAATTACTTGGTTGGAATTTATGTTAGCCACAAAAGGGTCCCAGTCAAATAAAGTCGTCATAAGTGGCTTTTCCTTACTGTTCCTTCTCTGAGTCATTTAGGGATGGGGCCTAAAGGAGACAGGGAAAAAATAGAAGAGGGATTAGCTTCAACCATTAAACTGCCCGTTTTGTGGTGCTGCGTGACATTTGCATTTCCCACTGCAAACAGAGGCACCTTTGTCGTGTTGGGGACATCTCTGTACAGATGACCCAGAGAAAATCTGTTCAGTGCTGGAAAACCTGATCAATTATAACTTCTGTCCCAATCTTCCATTTTGCAGAGGGTTCAGTAACACCGAGACGCTGTGCAGCGAATACAAGTACTACTGTGAGCAGTGTCGCAGTAAACAGGAAGCACAGAAGAGGTGAGGCCAAGATGCATTTTTATTACATATCTGGGTCCCACCAAGGACTTCGGTTCTTGATACGTTTACAGCAGACCTGCCTGGCAGGTAGACTATGCTGAGAAAGAATCTACTCCCCCACTTTATAGTTCAAAAGGATCTTTATGAAAGAGACATTTCTAATGAACTTGTGATTTGTGGTTTTGATGATTAGACAGATTATAGAAACAGGAGTAATATGATGGTACTTTAGAAAGAGGATGAAATATGGTATATTTTATTTATGACTGTTATGAAGAATTTTAGAAGCCACTTCTTCCTTCCTTCCTTCCTTCCTTCCTTCCTTCCTTCCTTCCTTCCTTCCTTCCTTCCTTCCTTCCGCTTTTTTCTTACCTTGCAGTTTATGCTTGCTTGCTTGATCGATCGATTGATTTCCCTCCTTCCCTCCCTCCCTCCTTCCTTCCTCTCACCTACCTACCTCTTCCTTCCTTCCGCTTTTTTCTTACCTTGAAGTTTATGCTTGCTTGCTTGCTTGATTTATTTATTATTTCCCTCCTTCCCTCCCTCCTTCCTTCCTTCCTCTCACCTACCTACCTCTTTCTTTCTTTCTTTCTTTCTTTCTTTCTTTCTTTCTTTCTTTCTTTCTTTCTTTCTTTCCACCCAACTCACACATAAGTGACTTCTTCCTCACTATATTAGTTTGTGTTAGTTTTTACCTCCTTGTATCTTTTTGTAATAAAAAGTATATAGAGAAAATGAATGTGACATCTGTTATAGTTTATTGAGGTGTATTCAAAAGCATCTGGCGTAATCTCAGAAATGTGAAGAATGGCCAAATGAGTTTCTACATGAGAAAGAAAAAGTAGCTGAATAACTCTTTCCCTGATCCCGCTGCTCATAATTCTGTTCATTTTTTATTTTGCATGATTAACTCTGCAGACGCAAAGATAACATTAGTATTATTCATGACCATAATTCTGAAGTTTTTTTTCTTGCTTTTCCTTTTTTTTCCTTGAAGAAAACCTTAAGTTCAAAGTGGAGCAGCAACTCATCTGCAATCCTTACTGTAGTTCAGGGGTTGATTTCTCCTTCCAGGAGAAGCTTCACTAATTCTGGGGCCGTAGGGGGCCCAGGAGCTTTTCAGAGCAGAACTGTGAAATTAATCACACCAAGTAAAGAGACAGAGTAGTGTAATAAATTCTGTACAGGACCAGATGGCATTTCTGTAGAATTTGACTCTTATTGTTGGCTCCAAACTTTGAGTTTTCTTGATGCGGGTGGGGGGGGGGAGGAGGGGGAAACAAGAGGCCCCTAGTTTGGTCTAGTAGTTAGAACAAACTAGAAATCAGGAGCCTGTGAGTTCTAGTTCCACCTTAGGACATAAAAGTCGGCTGGGTGACTTTGGACCAATCTTTCTTGCCCCACCTTAAACATAAAAGCCGGCTGAGTGATTTTAACCAGTCAGTCAGCCCAACCCACCTCACAGGGTTGTTTTTATGGGGAAAATAGGAGGAGGAAGGAGCATTACATATGTTTGATACCTTGAGTTATTTATAAACAATAATAAAGATGGGATTTTAAAAATTGAGAACAAATAAATGCATTTTTTTTCTGATTTCTTTGTCAATGTTAGCCAATTTCTTTGGTTGGTGGTTTGGGTCTGAATTAATAGCTGCCTTGCATTCAGTTGTTGCTAAGTGCTCAAGTCATCCCATTGCCACATGATTAAGGAAGTCTGCTTCAAATCTTTCCTGGCTTTTTTTTTGGGGTGTGTGTGTGTGTGTGTGTGTGGCAAACATTTTATCAAGCACTACAGGTAGTTCTCGATTTACAACAGTTCATTTAGTAACCGTTCAAACTATATAACGGCACTGAAAAACGTGACTCACGACCATTTTTCACAGTTACGACCTTTCCAACGTCCCCATGATCATGTGCTCAGAATTCGGACATTTGGCAACTGGTTCGTATTTGTGACCGTCGCAGTGTCCTGGAGTCCCCTGAACAGCTTTTGCGACCTTCTGACAAGCAAAGTCAATGGGGAAGGCCGATTCACTTAACAACTGTGCTACCGACTTATCAACTGTAGTGATTCACTTAACTGAGGCAAGAAAGGCCGCAGAATGGGTCACAATTCACTTAACAAATGTCTCACTTAACAACAGAATTTTGGGGCTCAATTCTGTTCATAAATCGAGGACTACCTGTATATTATTCACTGAGGGCTATTTTTAAAACCTTAATAAACTCTGTGGAACTGAGCACGATTTTGTAAGAACTGCTTTTGTTTTTGTTCTCTTTCTCTATTGATCTTACATTGCTAACCAAGGATGCGAGTGAAAAAGCTGCCCATGATTCTCGCTCTGCACTTGAAAAGGTTCAAATACATGGACCAGCTACACCGATACACCAAACTTTCCTATCGCGTGGTCTTTCCTCTAGAGCTTCGACTCTTCAACACATCAGGAGATGCTACAAACCCAGACCGAATGTATGATCTTGTGGCTGTGGTGGTACACTGTGGCAGGTAAATAACCCCCCCCCCACCCCCAAAAATCATAGCTGTTACTAATCAAAGAGACGATTTGTAACTCACAACTCCGGGGTCCTTGGTGCTGTCTGAGGTTGGTGGTTTTCTTGCAGATGCTTCATGACCCAACTAGAGCCATCAGTAAACAGCCCAGTTATATAAACTGACAACAAACAGCACTCCTTACTACCAGCAGCACTGATGATGTTACCTAGTTAGGACAATGAAACGTCTGCAAGAAAACAAGCAAGCTCAGAGAGCACCTGTGGACCCCTCATTTCAACCCTGAGCTACAAATATTCTCCTTTATTGATGACCCAACTAGGTAACATCCTCAGGGCTAGAAAAGAGTGGGTGTTGCAATGTGGAGGAGAAGGAGAAGAGGAGGAGGAGAACAACTGTGGGGTCCTTGGTCTTCTCTGAGCTTGGTGGTTTTCTTGCAAACGTTTCATGACCGAACTAGGTAACGTCATCAGTGCTAGAAGGGAGTGGGGTTTGCAGAGTGGAGGAAGAGGAAGAGGTGGGGTCCGTGATGCTCTCTGAGCTTGGTTGTTTTCTTGCAAGTGTTTTATTAACCAACTAGAAAACCTCATCAGTGCTAGAAATAACACTGATATTACCTAGTCGGCAGTTGAAACACCTGCAAGAAACTCACCAAGCTCAGAGAGCACCATAGGTAAGTTACAACCCCCTGGTGTTTCCTGAATTGCATGTGAACTTCAGAGAGATTCCCCCCCACCCCGCCCCTCCAGCTTGGACCTAAGGATAGATTTGGGCTAGCATTCCCATGTGGGGAAGGGGTAGATCAGCCATCAAGATGCAAAGGTAACTGCATGCAATTTCAGAGAGGGCTAAGATTTGTCTCTCATCTCCCCACCCCTTTAACTTCCCCCTTCTGCTTGAGAACTTTCTAAGCTAAAGTTGTTCTCAATCAGCTGTTGTTTGTTCTTAGCAGATCCCTTCCGTCCTTGAATCTCACGGCCTCCTACCCAATCTTTTGATGTAGCCTTCCATTGCAAACCGAAAAGAAAAAAAATCCTTCCATTCTGCACCGTTTTTCCTCCATTTCATTTATGGTCTGGCTTTTGCATAGGTAGTCCTTGACTTACGACCACAATTGAGCTCCAAATTTAAGTTGAGTTTTGCCTCATTTTATGACTTTCCTTGCCACAGTTGTTAAGAGAATCACTGCAGTTATTAAGTCGATAACACCGTTGTTAAGTGAACCTGGCTTCCCCGTTGACTTTGCTTGTCAGAAGGTCTCGAAAGGTGATCACATGACCCTGGGACGCGGCAACCGTCATAAACATGGGTCAGTTGGCGAGTGTCTGAATTTTTATCACGTGACCATGAGGATGCTGCAACGGTCTTATGCATGGAAACAGTCACAAGTCCCTTTTTTCAGTGCCATTGTAACTTCCAATGGTCAGAAAATGAACGGTTGTAAGTCGAGGACTACCCTGCATACCTTGCTCTACCAGCTTTCCCTGTTTGGTCTGGATCTGCATCCCTGGAATAGCTGTAATGGAGAAGGATGATAGGATTGTGTTCAAGAAGATCCCTCACCTGCTCTATGCCCACAGGAACCTTTTGGCTTTTTTCTCTCCTTGGGTGTATATTTTTAAATGCGTTAAACAGTTAACCGTTAAACAGATCGATAGAAAATGTTGCTTTATTTATGGGAACTTCATCTACTGCAAAGGAAAATTGAAACCAGCTATTATTGGAACAAAGAAAATATTAAAGCAGTTTAGCCAAATGATTTAAGATTTTTTTATAGCAGCACCACCAGGTGGTTAAGCTGCATATTTTGCAAATGTTTATTGAATCCATTAATTTTGGCTTTGTTCTCAGTGCCGAGTTCTAAGCCTCCCTAATTAGTTTTTGTAGAAGAGGTGTGTAATAGAGAGTCATTCTTTCCCTCTAGAGGGCCGTATCCCAAGCCATAGATTGAACTCCCACATCACACTCCGCATGATTTGTGTAACCACGATTTGCTCACCAAACCATGATTGGTGCTGTTCTGTCAGTCATGGATTTGCACATGCTGGCCTAGCACAAAGGGTGACCCCCCCCCTCTGTCCGTACAAACAAGGCTTAGGCGGTCACACACATTTTAGGATTAAATTCCAAGATGCAAGTGAGATCTCCGAAGCACATGTTATCTTGGCTGGAGACAAGTCGTCTATTCATGGGCAGCTTTTGCTTTTATTTATGTTATTTATTCAAGTTGTGTGGCAGGCCTCTAAAATTCACGATTCAGGGGAGCCAGCAATGCTTAAAACGCAACGTAAAAAATGTGTACTCAAACCTATACAGGTAGTCCTCAACTTGCAACCACAATTGATTGAGCCCAAAATTTCTGGTGTTAAGCGAGACAGTTGTTAAGTGAGTTTTGCCTCATTTTACAACTCTTCTTGCCGCAGTGAATTGCTGCAGTTGTTAAGTTAGTCACATGGTTGTTAAAGGAAGTTTGCTTGTCAGAAGGGCGCAGAAAGGGATCACGTGACCCTGGGACCTCACAGCAACCGACAAAAGAGCCTTGGTAGTACAGAGGTTTAAGGCACCCTGTTATTAAGCTTATTAAGACCAGCTGCCTGCAATTACTGCAGGGTTCGAATCTCGCCAAGGCTCAAGGTTGACTCAGCCTTCCATCCTTTCTAAGGTAGGTGAAATGAGGACCCAGTTTGTGGGGGCAATAAGCTGACTTTGTATAAATATATACAAAAGTATGAAGGCTGTTGCTGAGCACATTGTAAGCCGCCCTGAGTCTTCGGAGAAATCAAATTAAAAAAAAAAAAATACATGCCATTATCATGTGACTATGGGGATGCTGCAACAGACATAAGTGTGAAAAACGGTCATAACTCACGTTTTTCAGTGCCGTTATAACTGAATGGTCACTAAACAAACTGTTGTAAGTCAAGGACTACATGGGATGCTTATTTTTCCTATCCAGCGGTCGTGGTGCAAGCCAAAAGTCTCATCTACCCAACCAATGTTGAATCCAGGAGTGGAAAGGCAATACAGAATATCCGCATTTAATCAACGATTCATTGTCGCAAAAGAAAGTCAGGGAAGCCATGCAGAGAGTGGGTGAAAGTTTGGAAATCTAGATGAGTGCCATGGCCACACAGGTGCAAAACCTCACCCTGGAGCCAACATTGCTTCCACCATATGATGGGGAGTTGTCCCTAACTTCCATGGAGAGAGGGATGGTTCTTACTAGGCCTTCAGGAGAGAGCTAAATCTATTCAGGAGAGAGTCCTGACTGCTGAACTAGTTTTTACTCTCAGTGCTATTGCTAGTGCTATTTTTCACACTTACGACCATTGCAATGTCCCTGTGGTCACATGATCAAAATTCAGACACTCGGCCACTGGTTCATATTTGTGACAGTCGCAGTGTTCCAGGGTCACGTGATCCCCTTTTACGACCTCCTGACAAGCAAAGTCAACGGGGAAGCCAGACTCACTTAACAACCGTGTTACTAACTTAACAGCTGCAGGGATTCACTTAACAACTGTGGCTAGAATGGTCGTAAAATGGGGCAAAACTCACTTAACAAATGTCTCCCTTAGCAACATACATTTTGGGCTCAATCGTGGTCATAAGTCGAGGATTACCTGTACTCTTTCCGTTGCTTTACCACTCAGTGGTGACACTATTTTGGGATTGTGGGAAAGCTTTGGGATCAGAAGTCCGAATCGAGTGGCTCTTGCCTTTAATCAAGCGAAGATGCCTTCTCTCCAGTACTCATCCTTCCTTCCATCTCGACTAAGATCAGGGATTCCTCAGAGCTGAATCAGAAAATCAGCCCCAGCTTCCCAGCTTCCCCTGAAATAGATGGGAGCACAACCGGTGTTACTTCCACTCATGTCAAAGCGGCTTTTGGAGATAAAAGTCATAGGAGAACCATAGTTCGAGTCTATATGTCCATATCCAGCATTAACCTTACCTCTCTCTTTTGTTGCAGTGGTCCAAATCGTGGACATTATATCACCATTGTGAAGAGCCACGGCTTTTGGTTGCTTTTCGATGATGACATCGTAGAGGTAGGTTTGGCTCTTGTTCCAGTGCTTTGTAATAACTTTGGCTCAAAGCTAGTGTCCGCTTTTGTACCTAAATATAAATACGAACTCTTTGTAATCAATCATGCAAACAACAGTTCCAGCCCCAATGAATCAGTGGTAGGTTCCTCCCGGTTCGGCCCGGTTCGCCCGAGCCGGTAGCGGTGACGATATGACGTCACCGAACCGGTTCTGCCCCCCCGCGTTATTCTTACCTTTTATTTGGCCCCACCCCCAATCTATTGCTGCCTCCTGAATCCCAGCTGATGGCTAGAGGGAAAAAAAACTGTTTAAACTCTTGCTGGGGCTTCAAAGGGCCGCCCTACAGCTGATCAGTGTTAAAAGAAAACAAATGAGTAGACCGGTGCCTGCAAAAATACATGAGTAGATCAGTGCCTGCAAAAATAAATGAGTAGACCGGTACAGCTCTGCAAGCAGTTAAAAGCCTGGTAGACCAGGACCTCTGCTAAATCCTAAAGAATTGTCACATGACCATCAAGCCATGCCCACAAAATAAGCCGCGCCCACAGTTTTAAAAATGGGTAGCTGAATAAAATGAGTGAGATAAATCACCATGTCGCTGGTTGCTCTGCCCACCCGATGGGTCCTTACAGCTTTACCAGACTCCATAAACTTTAAACACTTCTCTATTGGAAGCAGCTATATTAGATTGGCTCCCCCCTCGAAACTCACACGTACATAGGCACCGTGAGTTCTTTTGCACTCTGATTAATTTCTCTTAACTCCTAGGATGAGCGTGTTGCTTTTCAGGGGCTGAGTGTGAAGGGTTTTCTCGGGTCTGGAGAAAAAAAAAGTGTTAGCCATTCAGTGTTTCTGTTGCATGAAAGCTAGTAACTCTGAGAGCAGATTTCTCTCTTTTGAAGCATTCAGTCAGGGCCTCTGCAGATTTTCCAATTTTTATATGCAATGTACATAAAAACCTGACGGAGCTTTGATTCGGCTGGATCAGTGTTGGCGAACCTTTAGGCACCAACTGCCAAAACGGGAGTGTGCACACGCATGCCCGCTTGCCGGAAAAGCAGCTGCCCAGTGCACATGCACTCGCTAGGAATATGATCTTCCGGTTTCCGGCGCACCACCTGGTCTTCTGGTTTCTGGCACGCACAAAGACCAGTTAGCTGGTGTGCATGCGCCCATCAGAGATGGGAAGAGTGTCAATGAAGCGCCCCACCAGCCCACCACCGAGAACAAGCCAGCACAGCCCCCCGGCACTTCTGCCAAGAGAGCACGACCGCTTCCCGGCCGGGATGCCTCTTACCCCGGCGTCAGACAGACGTTCCTTCCTGCCCGAGCGGGCTTCTTGAGCCGGCCAGGTGTTCTGGACTGCGGACGCGTGTTGGTGCCGAGGGCTGGGGCTGCGCAAGAAGCCCGCTCGGGCAGGAAGCCCCAGTCCGCCCATCCTGGCTGACAGCTCTGATCCCCTAGGAAGCTACCGCCAGGATCCCCTCTCCACATCTTTGAGCATGCGAGCCATTGCCTGTTGCCGTTCTGGGTTCCGGCACGCTGGCTGCCTGGTCTTTGCACGTGCATGCACGCCAGAAACCGGAAGATCAGGTGGCATGCGCACCGGGTGGCTGCTCTTCCGGTTTCTGGTGCTCCCACGCAGCTGAAGACCAGTTGGCCAGCACGCTGGAACCCGGAAAACTAGATTTTTTTTTGAACCAAACCCTGTGAATATCCCTGCTATAAATAACTGGCAGTTTTCAACTTAACAACAACTGGAACCAGAATTTCCATCACTAAGCAAGATAGTTGTTAATTGAGTCATGTCTGATTTTGCAACTTTTTTTTTGCTGCAGTTGTTAAGCAAATCACCACAGTTGTTAAGTGAATCATGCGGTCATTAAGTGAATCTGACTCCCCCCCCTTGATTTTGCTTGTCGGATTTTGCCGGTTGGGAAGGTCACAAATAGCCATCTGATGACAACCCCACCCCAGACATAAATACACATCTGTCGTTAAGATTTTGATCACGTGACTATGGGAATGCTGCGGCAGCTGTAATTGCAAGGACCAGATTGTCAGGGCATTGATTAATCCCATTTTTGGCTCTGGGACAATCACCCTGATTAGAGGAGATGAATCGAGGCTTATTCTTGTTTGCAATATTCTGAAGAAGAAACGCGAAGAAAAGTTCTCTAATAAAACTCATTTATTTGTTATAAAGAAAATAAAACACCTCACTAACTAAGAAAGTTAATTGCTACATTTTGAAAGTAATTCGGGTCGGCTGCTTTCCAGCAGTCGACACCCCCGTGGCATGAGAACAAAGGAAAAAGTGTGAAGCAAGTGAAAGAATGCGGACATGCGTAGTAAAATACTGATAAGGAACTTGGCAAACTACAGTAAGTCTATTAGTCCAAAAATAATGAAGCTCAGCTGGGAAATAAAATAACGCAGTGACACAGATGTAAGTCACTTTTTTTTTTAGTGTCATCGTAGTTTTGAATAATTGCTAAACAAATGGTTGTAAGTCGAGGACTATCTGCAGACAGCAATGCAAAAGTCATCTATTGAGAATATGGTTTGATTGACAAAACCCGCTCCCTAGACTGGTGAAAAATATTGAATGTGAATTACAATCATAAGTCTGTAGTCTTACGTAGTAGTCCTTGATTTACAGCAGTTCATTTAGTGACCGTTCAAAGTTACAACGGCACTGAAAAAAGTGACTTAAGGCCATTTTTCACACTTACGACATTGCAGCATCCCCCGTGGCCACGTGGGGGAAGAAAATTCAGATGCTTGGCAACTGACTCATTTAGGACCATTGCCGTATCCCAGGGTCATGTGATCCGCTTTTGTGACCTTCTGACAAGCAAAGTCAATAGGGGGAAGGCAGATTCACTTAACAACCATGGCTAAATTTGCAGTGAAGTCATGAATAGCAGCAAAGAGCAAGTGGGTTGTTTTAATTCATTGATTTGTTGCATATTTAATGTATTTTAAATGTATATTTAAAGCAGGAGCCTTTTCTTTTGCTCCTTAATGTCCATTTCTTTGTCCAGAGATGACAGTGGGAAATCGGCACTCTCCCTGCCTTTCTGGTTGGGAAGAGGCCACATGCGCTGAAACAGTCGAGCACCATCCCTTACCTTGTGCTGACCTTCTCAGTGGGGGGAGCCAGGGCCACTGACTTGATTGTCAGCTGAATTTTAATGAAATATCTAACAGAATAAGAGAGTTGGAAGGGACCGTTGAGGTCTTCTAGTCCACCCCTCTGCTCAAGCAGGAGACCCCATACCATTCCAGACAAATGGCCGTCCAGTCTCTTCTTAAAAGCTTCCGGTGTTGGAGACCTTCAGAGCTTCTGAAGGCAACTTCTGTTCCACTGGTTAATTGTTCTCAACTGTCAGGAAATTTCTCCTTAGTTCTAGGTTGCTTCTCTCCTTGATTAGTTTCCATCCATTCTTGCCTTCTGGTGAATTGGAAAATAGGTTGGAAACACACACCCCTCTTCTTTGTAGCAGCCCCTCAAATAATCCATAGGCAGAAGGTCCCCCATAATGATAAAGACTGAAACAAAATTGCTTAAATGAGAGGTCCTTTGGTGCTCTCTGAGTCTGGTTGCTTTCTTGCAGACGTTTCATGACCCAAACTAGATAACATCATCAGTGCTAGTTCTGATGATGTTACCTAGTTTGGGTCATGAAACATCTGCAAGAAAACAACCAAGCTCAGAGAGCCCCAAGGGCCCCTCATTTCAACCCTGAGCTACAGATATTCTCCTTTATCTGCTTAAAATCAGGGTGTGAAAATGCTAGGCCAGAGGACATTGACAGTGATTCTGATTCTCTCTCTCCATTAACCTCTCCCTTGTCTTAAATTTTAGAAAATCGACGCTCAAGCAATTGAAGAATTCTATGGATTGACCTCAGACATTTCCAAAAATTCAGAATCTGGATATATCCTTTTCTATCAATCAAGAGACTGAGATGGCACATTTTTGGGACATCTTGTACACAAAAGAAGGGATCAAGGCTGTGCCGGAAAGGACAACAGAGTGATGGCAGAAGCAATTCCTCCTGGTTATCGTGGGCAATCAAGTGATGCATTTCCTTGAGGAGAACAATCCTGAGCAAGGATGCATTTTGCTTTGATTTTCTTTCTAGGCTATTTTATACTTGCTAACTTCCAAAATCTTTTACCTCTACTTGAAACCTGGCTGCTTAACTCTTCAAGAACCAAGAAAGTGATTTTTAAAGTAACATTGTAAAATCCGTTCACTGTTCAGTCGTGGCTTAAGACTCTTCTTTGGTTTCCGTTATTGCCATTTTTCTGTTTTCTAACAGAACAATTTCCCCTCCGGTATTCACTGAATTCCTGTCCTCTTTTGGGACTCAAGCGGAAGAAAGTTGATGAAAGTTGCAGTTTTGGTAATTCAAGACCGCAGCCACTTAAATCATCCTGGAAGCATCGTGGTTTAATTTTTACTTATTTTTTTCTATGGGAAAAGGACACCAGGCGTTTTTACAGGATGAAGATTTTGTTAAAGATGTCACTTTTATTTCCGATAACACTATTTATTATACATTTGTTCAGCTTTGTCTCTTTCTTAAAATTTTCCTTGGAAACTAATTTTTATATGCTTTATAAATCTGTTAATCCTTTGTAAAAAGAGATTTTGACTCGGAACCACAATACTGTAGAAGTCAGAAAAGAAATAGATGTAAGTGTTGGAGGTCACATCTAGCATAAAAACTAAAAGAACAGTTTCTCGGAGCTATTCTCTAAGCCAAAAGTGCCGTCTGCTGAAACTGGATCTATGAAGGGTTCAGTTTTGCATGTAAGAAGCAATTCTCGGCATGGATCGACATGCTGTAAACGGACATCACCGCTCTAAACTTTAAGGTTTAAATAATAATTACGATTTTGGCCTTGAAAACAATTCAGAAGTGGGATTTAAACTAAGATCTATCAATGCCTTGAAAAGAGTTCCTCTTAACTTCCATCCCTTCCTGCTCTCCAGCTCTCATTTTCCAGTCCACATTTATGCTGACGTTGCTGCTTCAACAGAGGAAAAAAAATAAGGCAGTGTTAGGAAGACTAAATCACCCTTAGCATCTATTTTCCAATGTTATGCATTATAACTCTTAAGCCTTTTTAAGAGGGGAAAAATTGTGCAGTGGAGAAGAATCTGCCAGAATTATTTAGGCTCGTAAGAACCTTAGACCGGGCTGTGACCTAAAAGCCAGTTTGGGCTGTGGGAACCATTGGTGCCTCTCCCTCTTCACAGCAGCCTCCCGGAAGGCCTGGTGCCAAGCAGCTGATCCCAGCAGCCCTTGGTGCGCCTTGACGAATGCAGAGATTTCTTTGTTGGTCCACACGAATGGTAATAAGAATGTGCTTCCTGTTTGGGAGAGTTCGTCCCAAAGCTTTCCTCAAATCACCTTCTGCCGGGAATCGCCAAGAAGAGAATCGACTCAGAAAATGGCAACGGCTGAACTCGAATCTGGGATTGGAAGGTCGGGCAAACTGCTACTTCCAAAGGTTTGCCTGGCTTGCGCCGGTAGCAAAAAGCTGCATTTTCCTTGTTTCCTTGGCTCCATGGTTTAACTTTTCTATTGGGAAGCTTTCCTTTGCATTGCAAGGGTGTCCCACCTCTGCAGCAGCATCCAAGCTCCACAGGCAATGTCCGAGAAGAAGGAAAGTCGCCTGCATTTGCCTTAGCCCACTTCAGAGCATCAGAGGTTCTACAGGTTTCCATGGGGCCTGGGAGAAGTTGGAGCTCTCTTTCCAAGAGCAAGACCCTCAGCGAGGATACCAAACTGAGTATCTGGGACCTCCAGGGAGGTTATAAGATTGCAGCCATTGTCTTAACAGTAGCTCCTTCCTTTTGGTTAGCAGGACATTCCATTAGCGGCACATAATGTCACATAATGTGTCTTCGAGTAATTCAGATTTCAACGGTCTCCCTACTTCAGGTGGGCAACTGGTGTGGATATGTTCAGTCCAATATGCCAGAGTCCAATTTTCTTCAGAGGTTGTCATCTCTAACACAAATAGCTGTTGACAACTAGTGGGAAGTTTATGCATTAGGTTGCATGTAGGAACTTTCGGCTCATACATAGAAAACATCTCCAAGCAAGACCACAAAAGATCCTTAATCCACTTCACCCTGGAGAGCCCCTCTTTGGGGGCAAAGCTCCCACCCCACCCCATGGGAAGGCAGGGGCGGCCACCCAGCATAGGAAAAGGCTAAGCTTGTATTTTGTATATTTGGGGATAATGTTTTTACGAATAATACCTGACTTGAAAGGAGAGAATATTGAAAAAAATATATGTTATAGATTAAAAGTGCACTTTTGCTACAGATTTATAAGCGGATTAAATTGGAAGAGAATGGTGTGATGTGACTTCTGTATAATAAATGACACCCTGATATCACCAATAAAGGTCGCGTATGGTGAAATTGTCTCAGTCACGTGTGTGTGTGTTTTTTTTTTTAAATGTCATTGAAATGCCACAAAAAGACATCTCGGCACATTTTTTAACCTGGTTTTTTTCAACAATGTCGAAGTAACAGTCAGTCCCAGATAGTGTGTTAGGATGTGGTTTGCTGAACGAACTAGAATGTCACATGAGCCGTAAGCCATGGTTCTCAAACGGGTATTCAGCCAAATTGGAGCCGATGCCAAATGAGTTATGTTGTGTAGCGTAATTTAAATTTGAATTCCGTCACTTACATCTAATTTACAGGTAGTCCTCGACTTATGACCACAATTGAGCCCAAAATCTCTGTGGATAAGTGAGACATTTGTTAAGTGAATTTTGTCCCATTTTATGACCTTTCTTGCCACAGTTGAATCACTGCAGTTAAGTTAGTAACACGGTTCTTGGATTCCCCATTGACTGCTTGACAAGGTCTCAAAAGGTGATCACATGATCCTGGGACCCGGCAGCTGTCATAAATATGAATCAATTGCTAAAGGTCTGAATTTTGATCATGTGACCATGGGGATGCTACAATGGTCATAAGTGTGAAAAATGGTCATGACTCACTTTTTTCAGTGCTGTTGTAACATTGAATGGTCACTAAATGAAATGTAGTAAGTCGAGGACTCTGTATTGTCCAAATGTCCCAGGGATGTGGATTTTTCTGAGAGGTACACCTGAGCCAACTAGCAAGCAATAGAAGCTGGCCACAGCCTCTGTGTGTTTAGCTGTCTTTGTTCTAGAGTAGAAATGAGGGGTTTCTGTTGCTTGGAAGGCAGACTTCAATTGCATTTATGCAATTCTAATGGGAATGCTAGCTTGCCTTGCTGATAAGCTTCAGTAATAAATGTTCAGAGCACATTGCAGATGTCCTTAATAACCTTTAGATGTGCCCAAAACCTTGGGCTAACAACTCCCAGAATGTAAGACCATGATGGCCAACACATCTGGAAGGCATGGCTTGTTATGCCCAGATTTCCAGATTTCTTACGGGGGGTGAGTTCTGCTGCTGCACATCTGGACCACAGTGGGAATGACAACATGCAGAAGTTGGAAGCTGTCACTCAAAACAGGATGGCCTCTTGTAGGCTACAGCATTTGGGCTAAAGGGGGACACAGAAATGACTAACGTTGAACTGAAGTTTGCATTATGAGTCATCCATCTGGATGAGAGTGAGAAGTACGATGGTGCCAAGTGTTTATTTTTGTAATGTGACAGTCACAAATCCCCATTTCAGAAAGGCTAATAGAAGAGAGGTTTCCCCATCTACTCTTCTGGAACATAGAATAGAGCTGGAAGAGACCTCAAAGGTCTTCTAGTCCATCTCCTGCTCAAGCAAGCGACAAATGGCTGTTCAATCTCTTCCGAAAAACCTCCAGTGTTGGAGCACCCATAACTTCTGAAAGAAAACTCTTCCACTGACTTAATCATTCTCACTGTCAGAAAAGTTCTCCTTACTTCTAGGCTGGATCTCTCTTTTAACAACCTTCCTCCTATTACTTCTTGTCCTGCCCTCTGTGCTTTAATGCCCCTGAGGTCTTCTAATTTATTGTCTTCTTTGGGATTTTACAAACAAGCTTGGACTGTCACTTGCCTTTTCTTTAAAACATTTTTTGGGAAGCTGAAGTGAGATCCAGAGGCATTTTCTCAAATCAAGTTGACTTTGTAGCAAGACATTTTGCAATACATTCCCGTGTATGGAATCAAAGAAGATTGACAAGCACATTGGCTGCTCTGCATATCATGTAGCAGTCTGCAGGACAGAAGATGTAACTTCCTTAGGTTGCTCTTTATTTATTTATTTATTATATTTCTATACCGCCTTTCTTCCGTAGGACTCAAGGCGGTGTACAGTCAAGAAAAATATAGACACACAACCATCATAAAATTGCTAATTAAAATTATTATTATAACATAGTTTGGACCAATTAAATAGAACCTAAAATTAGATAACATTTTAAAAACATTCACATGTTCATATGTTTAGCCCCGCTTGTTGGAACATCAGGGTCTTGAGGGCACGGCGGAAATCACGGAGATCAGGGATATTCCGTATCTCACGGGGTAGTTCATTCCAAAGGGTTGGAGCCCTCACAGAGAAGGCCCTCCCCCTGGGAGTCGCCAGTCAGCATAATTTGACTGACGGTACCCTGAGTAGTCCCTCCCTGTGAGAACGAACTGGTCGGTGGGAGGCTATTGGTGGCAAAAGACGGTCTCGTAGGTAGCCAGGTCCTAAGCCATGGAGCGCTTTAAAGGTGATAACTAACACCTTGATTTGCACCCGGAAGACCACCGGGAGCCAGTGCAGCTCGCGTAGGAGAGGTGTTACATGGGCGCAACGAGCTGCGCCCATAATCACCCGCGCGGCTACATTCTGGACCAGTTGGAGCCTCCGGGTGCTTTTCAAGGGGAGCCCCATGTAGAGAGCATTACAGTAGTAGTAGTATTTTAATGCAACACTTACACCAGCCTAGGCTGATCTGAAAAATGCTCAGCAAAATCAGCCCTCGTTAACATTTGAACAGAAAACCCACCAAAAATTTCAATCCTATAAAATATCAGACAGCTAGTTTGGTGGTGTGGTGAGGGCATCAAACCAGAAACCGACTGATCATGAATTCTAATCTTGCTTAAGTCATGAAGACAGCTGTGTGACCTCCCTCCCTCCCTCCCTCCCTCTCTCTCTCGATTTGACAGACTATTTTGATGCTGTGCTTCAAAAACAGGGTTTTACCTCCTGCTACTGCAAGGAACACAGAAACGAATGTCTGAAGCTCCACTGCACAAACAGCTTGAGAGGGGATAAATGACACCTGCTCTGGGTTTGTCCTGGAATTGTGTGAAATGATGGTGATAACAATTTCTTACTTGCCACTGTATTTTATTGCAGGAAACAAGAAACGGCTCTCCTCCTTCTTTTCCCAAAGATGCTTAAATCTGTATTAGCTGCTCACTTCCTACTCTCCATCATGACATTTCTGTCCAAAGGGTGCGGGGGAGACATTACCCTCTCCAAAAAATTATATCTAATGTGGTTTTTTTCTTATGTGTTTTGAGTAGGCGATGAAGCAAAAATGAACCATCTTCAGGGTCTGATTTGAAAACGCTGACAAGTTATGGAATGCAGAAGGTTTTCTAGCGGGTTATGATGAAGAGCTAAAAATACCAATCACTGATCATCTATTTTTATGGATTCCATTCCCCAAAGCTCTGATAGCTGGCATGCATAATTACTCTAAATTAAAACTGGAGAAATCATTCCACTCATAAACACAAAAGATTAATCTTGGTGATTTTTTTTAAAGCTTTAACAACATGCTCTCCTTAAACTTCTGGGGGCTGTGGAAAGAAAGAACAGAGTGGAGAGGAGTGGAGAGGAGTGGAGTGGAGTGGAGTGGAATGGAGTCAAATCGAGTAGAGTAGAGTACAACAGAGTGGAGGGGAGAGGACAGGAAAGAAGAAGAAGAGAAGAGAATATGTTTTTATTGGCCAAGTGTGATTGGCACATAAGGAATTTGTATGAGATGCATAAATTCTCAGTATACATACAAGCAACAAAGTAATAAATCATTAATCATAAAATACATTCATAAATCACAAGATACAACCATCAAAGTGATAGTCATAAGATACTAATAGGAGCAGGTAATATGAAAGATGCAAACGATAATAGCAATACAGTCCAGCTACGTGGTTAGATACCTTTCGGCATAGAGAGTGCTGTGGGGAATTAGGTATTCAGCAGAATGATGGCATGGGGGAGAAACGGTCTCTGTGCCTGGTTGTTTTGGCTTGCAATGCTCTATAGCGGCATCCTGAGTGGAGTAGCTGAAATAGTTTATGCCCAGCATGTGAGGGCTCTGTAGAAGTGGGAAATGGATTTCTCCCCAGACACGGTCTCTGATTGCAGCAATCCTGCTGCGTTTTTGCTTTATGGCAGAGCCAATGGCAATTCAAAACAGGATAGCCCAAATGAGGCAGCTTTCCGAGAGAGGCTGTTAGCAATTGTTCCTTCTAGGTGGGCCTGATGGGATCTGAGAACCTCTTAATGGATCTGTTCCTGGGCCTCGTGGTTCTTCTTTGACACGGTTTAAGAACTACAGTGATCATTTCCATAACGGTGGCTTTGAGGTGTAAGCATTCACTATAAATGCACTGTCTTTTGTTACACCTCCTGCTCAAGTATGAGGAGATGTGATTCCAGTCCCACCAACCCACATTTCTTTATTCTAACCCCCAAATAACCACGTGGGGTAGCTGTTAGAATGGGCACAAATAGTTGATTCAAGGACCACCAAAGGTTTCCTCTTAATCTATCTTTCTTTCCACCTTCTGTAAGTGTTTTTTTCATGTTCAGGTCTTCATCTGTTTTTTGTGTAGCCTTCCACTGTCCGCCATTTTTCCTTTCTTGGATTTTTGTTTCATTTCGTTTTTGTTTTGTAATTATGCATTTACTATCTCCTTTTTTTTTTTAACAAATTGTTACTCATTATGAGTTACTTTCTTCATTACTTTCATTGTCATGCAATCCTACTGTTTTTCATTGCTCTGAGTTTAATAAAATTTTATTTCTTGAAATTCACAATAGGTAAGAATTCCAATACCTCACTGTTTTTGTCTCAAATGTGTCAAGATTTCTACTAAGATTTAAAGTTCTGTGTGGTGTCTGTATGAAATCTGTTACTAGAACTTATGGCAAGCTCATTTCATCTTGTCAACCCCCCCCCCGCCCCCACTCTTATTTTAAAAAAAGCATCATGTAATCACTGTTGAGTCAGACATAAAAAGAAGAGGAAAAAATAGCAAGAATCGTGAATGACAATCATGAAAATCACTGGAACTAAATATATTGCTGCAGCAAAAGAAAGTAAGTTATAGATTTATGAAGTTTCCTAAAAGGATGAGCTGCCAAGAAGCAAGGCAGCCTTACACGAACAGATAGGTTAATGGATAGATGGATGGATGGATGGATGGATGGATGGAT